TTGGTGTGTGTTTGAATGTGTGTGTGATGGAGCGCACGCGCGGGGGGGGTGAGGGGTGCGTGTTAGAGGTCGTATATTTTGCTACCTACAACGTACCACTCACCTCGTTTCACACACACCAATATCTTTTATAAATATAAATATATATTTATATATATATAAATATATATATATATATTGGTGTGTGTTTTTAGGGTTTTTAGGGTTTAACGTATCACTCACCTCGTGCAACCGCAGCATTTCGCATCTGACCTTGGGATCAGTAGGTATGTGTATTTTTGGTAGAAGAGGCACTACCAGGCGCAACAGAGTGTACACATGGTTGGCATGGGTATTGGGTAGGATCTCGACTACCCCAGGTAAAAGCTCTAATTGCTTTTCTGTTGATAACCTGAATGTGTCACAGATAGAAAGTATACGGCAATGGTTTTAGTATATATATGTGTGTGTGCGTGTGTGGGCGTGTGTATGTGCGCGTGTGTGTCTCTACAAACGCATGGATTGACACATACGGTAGGTAAGCTTATATGCGCGCACGCCTGCATGTAAGACTGACAATGTAAGGCAGAATATAAGTCAAAGTGATGACAGCTGTCGGTGCTAAAACCTTAAACCCTAAAAACTTCAAAATTAAAACTTTACAAACTCTATTTTTACTGTGCAACCCGGACCATCCACTATGGCCAATCTAAGAACGTCCCATGCATAAAAACGATGATATATACAAACTGTGAATTTGAGAGGTGTGGTTCTAACGACGATATATACTAAATGTGACTGTGAGAGGTATGGGTCTAACGATGATATATACTAATTGTGACTGTGAGAGGTGTGGTTCAAACGATGATTTATACTAATTGTGACTGTGAGAGGTATGGATGATATATACTAATTATGACTGTGAGAGGTATGGATGATATATACTAATTGTGACTGTGAGAGGTATAGATGATATATATTAATTGTGACTGTGAGAGGTACGCTGATATATACTAATTGTGACTGTGAGAGGTATGATTCTAACCGCTCTAGTCGTACGGCCCTCCTACAGACAGACAGTAAACCTAACTTACATACCTGGCAAACGCAATGTCTAAGAATATAATGGTGAAATTGAGCACCACCGGAGACACCTCTTTGTCCCCGAATTGCTGAATCAGATTTTCGGCGGGTAGGAATATTCCAGGCGTGGTCTTGACCCGCTTCTGTATGTGCGTAAGCACTTCCATGACCTGAGATTTGGTGCGGAAAGTAAAGGAAGTAGGCAAGCAGGGATAGACGAAGAGTAGCTGAAACGGAATACCGCAGAGAGGTGTAAGGTAGGTATAGTTGCACAGGATAGCTACACAGTGATCGGATGAACGGCTATCTAGTGAACTTTACTGCCATGGCCCAGGCAATGGTGCGGAGAGTAGACGATGTGAGCAAGGAAGAATAAAGTAGGGTGGCTGAAATGGAATGCTTCAGAGGGGTTCAAGGTGAATATGACTACATACACAAGTTATACCTTGATTTAGTCAACCACAATCAGCTACAGTGTATTTCCATGGCATGAGATTCGGTGGGAAAAGAAGGACTAAACGAATTTGGCTGAAACGAAATACTTCAGAGAGGCTCACTAAGAGTATGACTACATAACTAGTTATGTAATGAGTGAGTCACTCGATGACTACATAGTGCACTACAACTCCATGACCTGAGATTCGGTGGGAAAAGAAGGACTAAAGAAATTTGGCTGAAACGGAGCACTTCAGAGGCGCTCACTATTGACAGACGTGTGTAGATACGTGACTCTGAAATTGAGTCGGCGACAGTACAAAAGACCTTTGATACTGCGCAATCCAAATAAAATCGTCCCGATTTCGAGACCACTCCACAGGACTATAGTTGACAGACACTCGCTGAATCAACCAATACCAACCTACACGTGGCTATGAACATATAATGAGTGCAAGGGCAACCCGGCTAGAACACACGCACGCTGTAAACACATGCTATATACACACGAACAACTCTACAGGCCTTCGAGACCTACCGATATGTATCATAAAAGTCCACATCCACGTGTTTAGGGTTCAGGGTTTAGGGGTTTAAACCCTAAACCCGTATTTGATCAGATACGTACCGCGCTGTGTGACTCAAAAGAAAGACTCGCAGTTGAGATTGACTGATCTACTGTATCTCAATACTCAACCAAAACGAACCCACCCACTTCTAACACAGGCACGTCACATGGAACAACCAGCGTACCGTCATACCACACTAATCCTACCCACAGAACGCCTACTCACTCGGTTTCGTAGCACGCTAAGTGCAAGTCAACCCAAAAAGCTCACCTTGTTGCGCACGTCCGCATTGGCACTGCCGAACTTCAGGAGAACTGGACATAGGAAATTGTTTATAGACTTCTCTAGTTTGTCGTCGGTGTCGCTAGAACCCAGACGAAGAAGCACTCGATCAAGTAATTCTGCAAAAATCAGAGAGAATTAAGGAAAATATGAATAACGGTAAACCTCGTGTGAGAAGGTAGTTATATATAACACACACACACACACACATATATATATATATATATATATATATATATATTAATATATACGCACACACACACACAC